ACTGTGTAAATACATCTAAATGCTATTTCAGATGCAGATTCCAGAAATGTTTTCTTATGTTGGAATGAAACACACTTAAGTACCAGATGAAGTGCTCCTTATTCTTACCCAAAAGTACAAAATGGACTTTTACTTGAGTATGGCTTTCAGGTACTTTATACACCACTGGAAATCAGCAGGAATTTCTATGCTTTTGTTATCATTATGAGGGCATATTTTTGTACCATATAAAGCACATGTTCTGTAGAATCCATCGTAATTCCTCATGTGGATTCCTGGAAGTATAAATCGGTTAGTGAGAGCTTGTTTGGCTCAAAATCTAATGTGACACATACAGGTGCATCTCAATAAATTAGAATGTCGTGGAAAAACTACTTCAGTCTGTGTGCATTGAATTTATTTAATACACGAGTTTCACAATTTGAGTTGAATTACTGAAATAACTTTTCCACAACATTCTAATTTATTGACATGCACCTGTATATTTAGCTGAGAATACAATCCCAGAATGCCTTGCAGCAATAATAATAATAACAATAAATCCAAGGTAACGGATGAAGTAAGAGTAATGTTGATAATAAACAAACATATTTGATTCTATTAGTAAAATAGTTCTGTGCTTGTCTTTGTATGTTTATGTCTAATGACTGTCCATCTTTGCAACACAGAGCTGAGCTGTTTTCTGTGAATGCGCAGGATTCGTTAGCCACTATAGGGAAATAACCAGAAGAATGAGTGCAGGAAACTGTAAATCACTTACAGTAAAATTATGACAACACTTTGAATTAATATGATGAGAAATGGCAGTTTGCAGCATTGAGCAGCATAATGGTCTGTTGTACAGCTGAAATGACTGGAAGCGACTGACTCCAGTAGCAGTGCATGTTCGCGTGTAAAACAACCGCGCCACTCTTACGCTAAAAATAGGGAGGACAGAGTGAAACCGCTCCTCAAGAAAAATCCCACTCCTTTCCTTCATAATGATTTCACATAAAGACTGAACTACCATGAGCTCCAAGCTTATGAAGCAATGGTTTATGCTTCTGTTGAGGCCGTCAGTCAGTGTCATTTCAGCTTCATGTAGAAAAACAATCATTACAATTTATTAGACAAATTTCAGGTGAACTACACCAGCCATGAATCCGTTTATGCATGCATTAAAAACAGTGATTATGAGTCACCAGTTTTATACTGCTGCAGACATTCAGACAGTGATCTGACTGAAACTGACTTGACTTCATTACCTCAAATCAAATCAACATCAAATACAAAAATGCTTCTAAATAGTGTCACGAAAAAAAAAAACATTCTGCTGGAATACTGTGCATATGAAATAATACACCTGCCCGTATTATACAGGACCTTAGTAGATTGTGATGAACAGCTGACAGATTTGGGCTGCTAATTGTGAGTCATGAAAATAATGTTGCAAGACTATTGATTATGGGCTAAAGCATGAAGAAAAAAAAAGAAATGCAAATTCTATGACATGCTTGCCTTTAAAACTCTGGGTAGAAAAGCACAACAAATTCAAATACATGTATGCTTTTTAAACCACATGAATTTCATGAATGCTAATTAAACGTAGACATAATGATTCTTATGTGTAAATATTACATGATTTTACACTATTTATATTCATTCACAGCATGTAGAAGATGTGTGTGGCATGAGTCTCACTGGATTATCAGTGTAAATGGACATTGTAGGTCTGTGATAATGATGTGTGTGTGCACGTGTGTGAATCATAGATGCACACACACACACACTCTCATGGGTGGGTGGAGCAGGATCCTCAGCAGCAGCTGATGCATGAACACACACACACATGCACTCCAGCGCTCAGACGGAGGCTCTGCTCTGATATGAGGATCCGTGTGTGTGTGAGTGTGAGTGTGTGATATGAGGGTGATGATTTCTCTTTCTCTCTGCCGCTGTCTCACAGGAGTCCTGCAGCCCAAGAGAAGCCCAAACGTGCTGGTAAGACAACTTCCCTTTCATTTCTCACCTCAGGCACACCAGTATAGACAAAGTCTGTTGCAATCAAATTGTTGCACTTTCAGTTTCGTCTTTGTGTCTCATCTTTTTGTAGGTCTGTACACTTGAAGTAACAAACCTTTCGCACTTGAAAATTAATGCCTGTTTAGAAAAATGTACAACACAGTAACTTCAAACAATGCATTTAAAATGTAAGTTGTGGTATTGGTGGGTGCTGTTCTTTGGAAAACCACCCAAATGATTGGTAATCCCAGTATTAAAGAACCATTTAGTACAGTGGTTCTTGGAGACCCAGTGCTTTGCTCATTCTGTCTGTCTCTCTTATCTGACACACTCAGTTGAGTTCGAGTCTCTCCTAACGAGCTGATGATCTGAATCAGGGCTGTTAAATGAGGGAGACACACAAAATGTGCAGAGCGGTGGGTCCCCTGTTGGTAAATTCATTGGTCATCTTGCTTCTATTCCTTAGATCCCTTTTCACAGTTGGCTGTTTAGTCTGTATGCCATTTGATGTCAAACACTTTTTTAACTCTTCCTTGACCATTCAATTCATTGTTAGACAATGCACAACACGACATACGATAACGGTATATTTTCCAAGTTACAACATACAAACTATGACAGTAATAATCTGTGCTTTATGTAGTGTTAAAAGTGGCTAATGTGAGTTTAAATATCATTTTGTGTGACCTTTATAGCCATACTGAAGGCAACAGTAGTTTACCTTAGATCTTGAAAATAAAGCAAACATGTACGTTAAAGCTGTGAACTCAATGCAAACCAACAAGTGAATTCATTAAGATGGAGTCAATCACTCAGTACCTTTAATACTGTTAAAAAGGTTTAATATTCATGAATTAGATTAACTTATCGAGTGCAGTGCGCTTACAGAGAAGCTCCGCCCACCCGCGCTTCTGATTGGATGTGATATTTGATTGATTCTGTCACGTCGCATAGCCGTGTTGCGTGTGGTCTGGACAGACAAATTGCTTGTCGCTGGAATCTTGTCACGTCACGTCTGGTTAGGAACCGGTGTTAGATGTTTGTCCAGTCTATATACACACAGATCGTCATTGGAGCATGTTGGCAAGAAGTTACAAAAACTTTCTGATGTCTCAAACTGTTATCATATAATATAAAGCTGACATAAAGGTGTAGCATAGTGTTTTCTGCAATATCTTGGCAAGGCTAGTACATATTGCATTGAAACTTGATATGTCAAATAATGACCATGCTTCATGATTGTTTATGCTTGCTTAGCTTTTCACTTTGTTGTGCATGTAATTATGCCCTGAATCCACCCCATACATCCCTGTACCCCAATAGCACTGCACTATAAACAACACCACACCATAGCAACCGCACAGCAATGTACTGACAGCCGCCCACAACACTCGAGCAATGTGGAAGAAGCGGCATTAGCATGAAAAAGCTCCGCTCATGTTTTTATCTGGGAGTGTAATAATCTAGTTGTTATTAGCATTTAATAATCATTATCATGTCAGGTGAATGAGATTATAAGTATCTCATAAGAAATGTGAATAATTTATAAGATAAGAACAAGAATTGGCTTTGCAGCAAACTCTTTGCACTGTGTGTGTGTGTGTGTGTAATAGTGGCTGAATGAGTGTTGTGTGCTTGAATTGTAGGCACACACTCAACGTATCGACTCTGTGGGATTGTGTTGCTCTTCTCTATCCTTTCTCTCCATGAACTGTCTATTTTTAGGCCTGGCCTCTTTTTTGTTCGTTTCTCATTCGATCCCCTCACTTGCACCAAATTCCATTTTCTTTCCTTTTCTTTCTCTCTTCACATATTATTCTTTCTTTCTAGGTCAAACCCAGTATCTCTCAATCACTCATCCACAATCAGAACAATATATCGATCAGGCTGACTAATCTGCAGTTCCAGAGTTTTGTCGTTAGGTGCTCATTAAGCAGTGACAGCAGTGCCTCATTAATAGAAATGTATCTGTTCCACAATCTGCCATCACTTTGTCAATGGATAGTGTACATTTGCCACCATAGGCGTATCTTGACGTTTTGAGCTTGGGGGGCCAAACCAAGCCAGTCGATTTGGTCAGTCAAACTTTTAAATACATTTTAGCATTTCTGTAGTAAACGTACAAATTCACACTCCGTCTACCATTTCAGTAGTTTTACTATGATTACATAGAGCAGCAGCAAGCCGTAAGGTTGCCATGGCAACCAGATACATTGCACGCAAATTACTTGTAAATGCTGCACTGTCTATTTTTGCTGTCTAATAAAATGCACTATAACCATGTTTGCCAACAGAATCACAAAGTAGACTTTAAGCAAATCAACGAGTGAATTTCCCACTACTTTAAAACAGATATCTGTTTGAAATGATTGAAGTTAAACGCACAAAAGCAGGCACACAATCATATTTAGTAATGTTAAATCTTACTGAAAATGGCAGATTAAGCAGTTTATATTTTGAAATCTATTTCTAGATTTTATTCTGTGTGCATTAAATTACATTTGGATGTAAATGGCCCTTTTCCTGACATAGATGTAAAACACTGCGCTGCTGAAACGAGCATCCTGCGGATCACCTTCATGAGGCTGTCCGGGTCTAGAGTCGTCAAGGTTTTTGGTATTGGTATTTTGGTTAGGTCCAGATTCCACTGCAGTTGTTTCATGCTGTAAAAATGCTAAATATCTATGTACGCCATGCAACAGGCAAGCAGGCTATTGTCCGCCAAAATGCAGATTTGTCACGTGACAACTTCTTATGCTAATTACATTTTAATTGTAATTAAGTTTTTTTTTTTTACAAAATAACAATTTAAAATATATATAAAAACTACATTATGTGTATATTTACTTTTTAGTTGAAAACATTATTAATTAACAACTATTTTGTAAAATCTTTCAATCGTTAGGGGGGGCCAGGCTCCCCGCCCCCGCAAGCTCCGCCCATGTTTGCCACTGCTTTAGACACATCCCACCGGTTTGACTTAATTGACAACAAACACTGTGAGACCAACTGTGACGTCCTAAAAAACACAAGCGTGAATGAGATTCTCCACTGCGACAAAGGCAACCGTCTGTGAACAAGTTAATTTCTGATCTGTTTCTCATACAAAAGTGTCATATGGCTTCAGAAGACTTTGTATAAACTACTTTACTGTAGTGTTGGGAGGTGTTTGTCCTCGGCAGTGTGGCAGTGCCCTGTATGTTCCACTGTGGAAAAAAAAAGTTAATGTGAAATAACATGAGAGTGGGTAAATTCTGACTAGAGATTCATAAGTCAACTAGTCGTGTCACTGCACACTGGAGTCCGAAATCTTCGAATGCGTTTTTTGTATTCATCATCCTTAAAATTCATGACGCACAGAAACCTTGCACACTGAGTTCGATGCGTATTAATTAATCCGTTGCGAAAAAAATTGCAAAACAGTACTAAATGTAGTCTTCGAGCAGTGAGGATGATTTTGTTGTCCTCTCGCTTCTTAAAAAGAGAAAAAGAAAGGAAATATTGGGTCCATCCAATCCTGAGATATAGAGAGGAAGGAGAGTTTCCCCTCCTTATTAAGGAGCAGTAGGATTATCCCGGGCGATTCAAAGTTTACTTCAGGATGTCTGTGACTCAGTTTGATGCTTTGCTAGTGATACTAGAGCCACATATTAAAAAGAAGACCACCAATTTCCGTGAACTCGGTGTGCAAGGATCTTTACAGAGCTTTGTGCTGCGAGACGAAGTGGATCAACTTCAATTCAATTCAATTCAAGTTTATGGTTTTGGGACGTGACCTAAAGACAACGACGAGTTAATAATACTGAGAAGTGGTTCTTCTGCTACAGGTAACTACTCTTTCAGTAATTTAGTGGGTACAGGATCTAACAGGCATGTTGTTGGTTTAGATGCAGTGATAAGTTTAACAAGTTTGTCAACTTGACAATCGGCATTCTGTGTTTTGGCGTTTGCTTGTACGGTGGCTCTGAATTGTCAAAACACCTCTCAAAATGCTTGCTATGGATGCGAAAAATGCAGAAGATCAAACCCGATCTGATTTTTTTTATGATGGGCGAAAGTTTCGGAGGTAGTGTGTGAATGTGATTGACACAACGTGAGGCTTGTATTTATTTTTCAACGTGCGAAAATTTCGGACTCAGTGTGCAATGGCCTTAAACCTGTACATCTCTGTGTCTCTCAGCAGTTGGAAAGAAAGGACAGTCAGGGCAGCTCTCAGCACAGCATATGCAGTCACCGCAGCACACACACCAACTCGCCCGGCCGACCACAGCCCATCGTGCCCACTGACACCCTGGGGGGCCCTCCGCCCGTGCCGCCTCCTCCCACCCAGCCGCTGCCCGTCCTGCCCGCCTTTGACACCTCTGCAGCCAATGGGACGCTCCAGAAGAAACCGGACCCCTTCAAGATCTGGGCGCAGTCCAGGAGCATGTACGAGAGCCGGGGTGAGTAGCCTGGCTTCATTCCCACTTGTCTTACTGCTGGCCCTGTTTTGTTTAAGCAAGCAACTACTGTAACGTGACATGTTAGCACACTTCTCTCACATGGATATGTTACAGCTACACACTTCAATTCAGTTCGATTTATCTTAAGATCCAGGTTTATTTGCCAGTAAAACGTATTGTTAATCATATTCATCATTTTGAACTAGAAGCTGATAGTGTACAGTCAGATTCAAAATAGAGTCTCACAAGAAATTATATTACATAGAAATAACACTTTGTATTAGAGCCATCACAATACATTATATGTCATGGTACGATACCAGCGAAAGTATTGTTACACCACTCTTATTGTTTAAAGGAGTCTATTAATTCTTTCATTAACACACACCATTATACAAAATTAATATTCCTTAACATTCTTAATTTCACACAGCACTGCAATGCATTTATTTTCAGAGAAAACTGAAGATTTTGCACTACCAAAAATTTCATTTGAATCAAAGTTATGCCAAAATAACTATATAACATATTTTAACATTTAAAGTGTATTTATTTTGTAGACGATTTTATCCAAAGCAACTTAAAAAAGAGCAAGCAATTAGATTGATCATAGTATGCAATGGCATGTTTAGTAGACAGATGGAAAAGTGAAGACCAAATACTTTGCCTGAGGATGCAAAAATATCGAAATGTTGAGAAAATCGCCTTTAATGTTGTCCAAATGAAGTTCTTAACAATGCATATTACTAATAAAAAATTAAGTTTTGATATATTTACAATAGGAAATTTACAGAATATCTTCATGGAACATGATCTTTACTTAATATCCTAATGATTTTTGGTATAAAAGAAAAATTTATAATTTTGACCATTACAGTGTATTGTTGGTTATTGCTACAAATATACCTGTGCTACTTATGACTGGTTTTGTGGTCCAGGGTCACATATATTATCTTTATTTAACCAGGAAAAAAGACTCCGAGATTAAAATCTATTTTGCAAAAGTGTCCTTGCCAATTTTAGGCAGCCAAGTTTGCATATACAAATAAACAATGTAGTTACAACATACAATACAAAAACCAGCATACCAACATATAACCGATTAAAAACAATTACGCACCACTAACTCGCTCTCTAGATTATGTAATAAAAACTTAAAATAATTTTAAGACACCAAGTTTTGTAACTTCATCTCCTTTTGGAGAAAATTCCAATCTGAAATGGCGGCATATTTAAAAGAGGTTTTACCAAGCTCAGTTCTGACAAGGGGCACACAAAGATTATAATTTGATTGAGAACATAATGAGTAATTGCCAGATGAAGCCATTTGAAGGAAATAACAGAGATAAAATGGCAAATAACCCATTATGGCTGTATATATCAACAGATACCAATGCATTTTTCTCTGAATACTCAAAGAAGGCCATGCCAATCTTTTGTATAGTTCACAATGATGAGTTGAATATTTAAAATCAGTTATAAATCTCAGAGCAGCATGGTACAAAGCATCCGAGGAGACGAGAAGGTAAGGGGGGCATGCGTATAGACTACATCCCCATAATCGAGAACCGGTAGAAAAGTTGAGGACACTAATTTTTTCCTCACATGAAAAACAACGTATTTCTAGAGTAAAACCCTAACTTTTTCTTTAATTTTTTTCTCAAATACTTAATGTGTGAACCAAAATGTAGTGTGTTAATAATAATAATAATCAATAATAATACCCAAATATTTGTACTCTGACAATGTTGGTTAGAAGGGGCTGAGCAATAAACCATAGTATTGTCTGCATATAAATGAAACCTTGCATTATCAATATTAAAGGCAGGTTATATATATATATATATATATATATATATATACATATACTAAATAA